AATAGGAGATAAAGTATTATACTTTGACGCGGTGAAATATAAAACATATACAGGAAAACTAGAAGAAAAATGGAAGGGACCATATTATATACATGAAGTAATAATAAATGGATCATACAAAATTAAAGAATTAAATGGAAGAATTTTAAGAAGACCAGTAAATGGAGAATTATTAAAGGAATATTTTGATAGGGAAATATTTGAACCATATATAATAATATAATATGTTTGAGACCCGAATTCGATTCTTAATTTATGGGACATAAATTTTTCAAGAGGAGGATAAATGTAATAACCGAAAAATACAATAAAATAGAATAAGGATAAATAATTAGCCGATGGGTAAATAATTAGCCAATAAAATTATATTTATAGTTTAGTTTAGTGTAACGAGATAGTCATATGATAATAGATCTTCAAATTTTATTAGAAATATTAGAAATATTAGAAATATTTTTCTTAAAAATGTATAAATACAAGTGGATTTCAATAGGAAATTCTAGAGTTCAATTTTTGGAAAATAAAAATTTTAGTTCGTCCTTAATAATAAACTAACACATTCTTTTAGCCTTTTTCTTATAAGCAAAAAGTGCCACATTAATTATCTTTAATTAATGGTTTATTAATGTTTTGTAACTAATTTTTTTTATTTTAAACCAAGCATAGATATTATACGAACTCAACACGTCGGTGGCAACATACGATATTTTATTTTAATATCCTATGGGCGGCATGTCACAACATAATTGAACACAGCTTTAAACGACCCCTTTTATGGTAATAGTATATCTTTTATAATAAATAATATATAATTTGTTTATTAAGAAGCTTTTTTTGCAATTATCTTACCATCTAAAAGTCCAATTTTAATGATTTTTTTTTTGTTTTATAAAGTATAAAAAAAGCTACAAATAGTGTTCAGACCCATAAACCGTTAATATCAGATAGAAACAAATATCCGTTATTATCGGGTATCCGGTTTGACATTTAGGTTAACGATTATAATCCGGATATAAAATCGACTAATGGATTTAACCAGTTGAATCCGATAAAAGGTATCGGATACTTGTTGATCCAGATTCATAACAGATTAACGGATTAACCGTAATCCGTTATTTGTTTCACTATAAAATCATTACGTGGCAGTTTTTTTAATTCATTTACTGCTTATAGTTTATTCAATTCTTTTTTACAAAATAAAACCAAACGATCTTTTTTATTTATTATTAAAAAACCAAATATTTTCTCAATTTAATTATTTAGAAATAAAAAATGTAAAAAATTAAAATGAACTTTTGTATTTTTTTTATAAAAAATCAAACCGAAATCTATTTTTGTCCAAAAAATTGTACTTTATTGCTTCTAGGTGCAATTTCGGACTTGGACTTTGGAATAACCGAATAAGACATGAGGTATAGGATTAAAATTAGAGAGAAAATATCAAGAAAGTAGTATATTAATTTTTAACTAACCTTTCTTAATTTCTTTCCATTTTTTTTAATTTCTTATCATATCTTTCTGGACGCCTAGAACTCAGATTTCAGCTATTGGATTTGATCATTTGGAAAAAGGTGTGTGTTTTGAAACTTTGAAATAGGGAGTTGAGTTTTTAGAGAACATTAGTAAAACTTTAACTAATGTTACTTCTAATTTTTTTTCCTTGTAGGTACCTTTCTGGGCATCTCGATGTAGGATTTGGTCTTTGACTTCAGAATGGAAGGTAGGTTTGAGAATTGGGAGGTAGGGAACATTGGTAAGATCTTTACTAATGCTTTTTTTTATTTTTAGTTATGGGTATTTACTTGGACGTTTTGGATCTTAAAAATTGGGACGAAAAGTCTGATGGATTAAGGATTGAGAATTTTTTCTTTTTTTTAGAAAGTAGAAAATAAAATGGTTTTTGTTTATGTTTTTGCAATAAGAATCTGATGATGTTCTTTCTTTTTTTTTATATTTTAATTAAAATAAAATGTTTTAACATGATATTAGACTATTAGTTATTATTAAAATTTTTAATTTTAAAATTATTTTACGATTTTTTTTTTTTTCATCGTTATTTATTATAAAAAAAGGGGTAATTCCACAATTGATTTAGTTTAAAATTTTGTACCACGTATTACATTTATCGTCTGATTATCTTTAATGGAATAATCTAATTATATCAAAATCAAAAATTTTTTATCTTTCGAGTGTTTTAATTACAGAATATGGGTGATAATACTGATATAAGATAAGATCAATCTCGCCCCTCAACTCCTGAGAATGAATTACCAACAAAACGATTAAAAAATAGCCAAAAAAAAGGAGCTGGACATGGAATTATTTTGAAGAAGTGGATACTGAAGAGCAAACAGGGGATAAAGGAGAATTACTTAAAAGATGTAAGTTTTTAGATGCTAATGGAAAGATATGCGGAGCTCTTTATATCAATGATGGTTCAACTGGAAATACCATCAACCATTTATTAACTGATCACGAAATATCAAAGGATGGCGAAATTAATAAAGTTAGTCTTGTACTCTTGTTAATTTTTTTATTTTTAAAAATCATTTAATTAATTAATTGTTTCTATTATACAGAATCAGCAAACTATTCAAACTGTTATGCGTATTCATAAACATAAAGACAATAGGCAAAAAGAACTTTGTAAATTTTTAACAGACTGGATAATTGATGATCTTCAACCATTATATGTTGTTCAAAGTCCTTCATTTCGTTGGCTTATTAGTAAATTAGATCCAGCTTTTATTATGCCAGATGAGAAAGGTATTAAGAAAGTTATTGGTAATGCTTATAATTATACCTTACCAGCATTAATTAAAAAAATTAAGCTAGAGGCAAAAAACGTTTCATTAATCACTGATATGTGGACTTCAAGGGGTGGACAAGAATATATAGGCATTACATGTTCCTATATTGATTCCAATTTTAATCTTAATGAAATTACATTGACTGTTACTAATTATGTTCGATACCCTCATACAGCTCAGCATATTACAGAAAGTTTAGAAGAAATATTAGAAAAGTGGAATTTACGTGACAAGGTCTTCACAATTACCACGGATAATGCAGCTAATATGAAGAAAGCTATTTCAAATATAAATGCAGTTGAATGGCAAGGATGTAGTGCTCATACATTGCAACTTATTATTGAAAAAGGCTTGATTCCTGTAAAGGCATTAATTAAGCTGCTGTAGTATCAGAATTTGATAGAAAATTAATTAATAATGAGGCGTAGGTATCTTAGTATTTTAGACGTATAAGAAATAATAGAATAATAAGTCACGTGATGATCGACCCAAATGATGAGCACAAATGATAAACTATTTGTTTATTGTTTATGACCCAAATGATTGACACTAATGATAGGCAATTTGTTTATTTATTTGTCTACAATGGAATTTATTTGTCCACAATGAGAGTAACTCCTAAACACGAGTATAAACTGTATCTAATATGAAAAGATAGAAGAGATATTCCAAAAAGGAAATATTAGATGAGATATTCCAAAAAGAACTATTAGATGAGATATTCAGAAAAGGAGATATAAACTCCAGGACATGAGTATAAACTGTACCAATTAGAATAGATAAGTCATGTGAATTCAAGGGTAATAGAAAATATTATTTAAAGAACATTTATTTGATCTGAATAAACTAACAAATTTTTGAACAGATAATTTCGAGAAAGTGAAAGGATAGAATTTTTACCCTTATTATTTTGAATTTATATTGAATTTTATTTGTAATGAAATATGAATCAACCATAATTTATTCTTGATGAAAGTTGTGAAAGGCATGAATCTTTTAGATTCTATTAGTCCGAAAGAACAACATTTTGTTTTATTTTATTCAACCTTTAAAAATAAACCACAAAACCAAGTGAAATTAATATTTTTATACGAAGTTCTGACCTATACATGAGTTTTCATGTATAATGAGGTATGCATGTGGCAGGTGCATCCTTCATTTTGGTGCATGCTCCGAGAAAAGATTGATTATCTTCATATAATCAAAAGTGGATTTATAGTAGAAGTTGATTCATATTTGAAATAACTGGTAGGTATTAATTTTGGAGGTCTAGATAAGATCCGGTACCAACGTGAGGAGAGTTGGATGGAAGAGTAAGTTGGACGTAAGTAACCACTTGGGTGAATCGTTACATGAAAGGTAACTCAAACCTAAAGAAGGATTGAATAACTACCCAAGGGGCAGAAAGCGTGAGGTATCCTGACAGCATCTTAAAGGCGATACCTGGGGAATACCTTAAGTGTGGATTTATCTAGAACTTTGATTTTAATGGGAACACACCAATGTTCTGAGAAAATTGAAAATTTTCATTGTACTAAACTGGTTCAATCGTGCGCAAGGTTGTATTATACAGAAAGCACTCTGAAGATTGTTTAGAAACCTACTACCAGCAATAAAATTCATAATTCAAAATAGGAATTTCCTTCCCAAACCTGGAAACTGGTATACGTAAGGTCTATCATATGGTAAAGCTAAGCCTAGTATAAGGGAGAAAAAGGTAATTCCATCAAAACCGATGAGTACATTCCATGGATAGCTGTTGACTTTCGAGATTTTTGAAAGGTTAGATACACCCGTTAAAGGAAATGCTGATCACAACGGAGATGGTTAGACACGATGTAATTTGACTATGGAATATAACTGTTGACACTTAGGTGGTTAGACACGATGTAGTTTAATTATGGAACATAACTGTTGACATCTCTAATAAGTTGTGGGTTAACTTTGATACCCTCTAGTGGTTGTAGGCAAACCGTAAGAAACCTTCAATAGAATTATAAGTAAGTAATTTTTGTGAAGCGGTCCCGCGCATCACTGCTATATAAATGTGGAACGGGGGATAAAATCTGTAAAGCGGCCCTGGGGTAAGCAAGTCGCTATAGAAAATGGACAGGGAAAATACATGCTTACATTATAGAAAAATATATATATAGAACAGCTGGACTGTGAGAATGGATAAATTTTAGAAAAATGGATATTTGGGATAAGTTACAAGCGATTTGGGATAACCATGAAATGCAAAAGCATATTGAAAAATTAAGTGAGTATCAAAGAGATCCATCATGTAGGAAATGTTATAGAAACTTGGAGGATAGGAAGGAACTGAAAGAATTTTTGGAATTTTGGAAGATACTGAAGGAGTTAATACCACAAGTGGGAACATTCATTTGGAACACTATAATAAATTTCAGCAACCTAATACCAAATGAGGATGAAGCAACAGTGAAAGTTAAAAAAAGGAGAAAAGTGATAAACGTGATAATATACTCGATAAGGTACGATGAAAAACCAGAGTACACGTATAAGGGAATAGAAACAATAATAGAAATAATTATGGAGAATTGGTTGAGAGTGGATGACGAAGGAAAAATAATGGTAAGTGTAAATAAGATAAAAGAGGAGATACAGACTAATGAAGAGATAATAGAATTTGGGCATCGTATTGGAGAAAAAGAGATAGAGAGACGATTTAACGAGTACTGGTTATGGTACAAAATGAAAACAGGAGTAGTAGAGGAATCAGATAGGACGAGAGACTATTTTAAAGGTTTACTATATTTAGAAGAAACGATAGCTAATAAGGAAAATAAATGGAAAGTGACTAGATTTCAAAGGAGTATGAGATATACAACAAAGGTAGCATATCTTAAATATAAGGACGGATGGAAGAATAACCAGTTAACAGAAGAAATAATCAAAGAATTCATAACAAGCAAACAATTTGAGGCGAGAATCAGTGATGCCGGGAGTAGTGAGCTTAATTTGGTAGATTCTGAGATAAGTGAAGATAGTAGTGATGATAAAGAAACATCAGGATTAAGTATAGCAGATATTAAAGAAAAGCTAAATAGGAAAGGAGTATTGATAGAAGAACTAAAAATAGAAAGAGTGATAAGATTAGGATATGGACCGAATCAAATATTAGTAGTAGAATTTTGGGTAAAGTATAACGAATTAGAGAACCTATCAGACGAAAAATTAAAAAGTGAATTGGATGAATGGGTGAGGATGAAAACTCAGGAAAATAAGGAGGCGATAGCGAAGTTTGAACAAATAATTGCTAAATTAGGCATAGTAATGTCAGAAGGTATCATATGGTATTTGTATAATTGGGGATTTAGCGAGGAAGATATAGGAAATAGACGATTCTTACAGGAATACATGGGGTTAATAAAAATATATCCGTTGATAAACGAGAAGAATCAGGTAATTGTGAGAATGCTATTGAAACAGTTTAATGAAGAAGGAGAAAGAGCAGAAACTGAAGAATGGTTAGAAAGAGCACAGGAAAATGAGATAAAGGTCTCAGAAAGTGAATTATTGACATTGTGGAATATGGGGTATACGGAAGAAGAGGTATTCACAGAAGGATTAATTGGAAAATTTCAAGAAATAAAAGATGGATTGAAAACAGCCGTGACAAGAGAATTAGACCTGTGGCTGGCAAAGAAACGAAATAAGAAAGAGGTAGAGAATGAATCAAGTAGGGAAGAAGATGAGATTGATAAAACGATAATGGCAGTATACGAACTATTACTGGAAACGGAGAATGAGCTAACGAAAATAGATATCAGTAGGATATTAAGATTAGGATTTGATCAATATGAATTGGTCACAGATGGATTTATAAGAGAATACAAAGTCGTACATAAGAAGGATGATAAGAAAGTTCATAGACCCTATAAAAAATATGTATACGGTTTTTATACTGTATATATGTATTTTTGATACATTTTGCATTTTTACATACGGCATATCAGTATAATGTATACTGTTCTCAAAATGTGCTTAGTAAAAAATACAATAAAGTATACGGTAAACATACTGTGTGATACGGTATATTAAATTCATACGTCTATAACGTATATCATTTCTACTGTATATTAGTATTTTGTATACGGTTCACAAAAATATTGTAAATAAAGGATACGGTATACATATTATTCTACAGTATATTAAAATTTATACGTTTATAACGTATTTTCTACAGATATACACAGGTCAAATAAATAAAAATCAGATTTTTGCCCTTTTTAATATGGCTGTCTGATTTTTTGGCAATTTTAATATAATATTTCCGATTTTAATAAATATTTCTGATTTTAATATAATATTTCTGATTTTTAACATGAAATTGCCGATTTTTGGTTATTTGTAATAGGATTTTTCGATTTTAATATATAACATGTGATTATGTATTACGGTTTAATATTTATTTATTAACTTAGTTTTTTTTTTTTATTTCAGTTATAATTATTTTTTTGCCTTAAAAACTTTACTAAAATACTTTTTAAATACTTTATAAAATAGAATTAAAATATTTTTTTTCTTAAATATAAATACATTTAAATTAAATAACTCATAATTTAAAATATAAACAAATATTATATTTTTTTTACATATATTTCAAAGTATGGTTTGAGCATTTTGGCTGAAGTAAATCTTATTCTTTTAATTAAAAGTAGTTTAGTAAGTTTAAAACTGTTAAGATCATAAAAGTACAGTTAATATTTTTGGAATTATTTACATTTTTTATATTATACAGTAGTATTAAGTTACAAATTTTTTTACCTTCAGAGCGTATTTTGAGATCTTTAGCCAAAGTAAATCAACTTCTTATATTAATTGTAAGTTGTTCGGCAGGTTAAAATCTACTTGGATATTAATTTTCACGAAGGTACAGTTAATACTTGATGAGTTATTTACAATTTTCACAACAGTACTCATTCACGACTTTTATTTTTTTCATTTTGTCACTTCAGAGCGTATTTTGAGCACTTTATCCAAAGTAAACCAACTTCTTATATTAATTGAAAGTTGTTTAGCATGTCAAAATCTACTTGAATATTAATTTTCACGAAGGTACAGTTAATACTTGATGAGTTATTCACGATTTTCACAATGGTACTCATTTACGAATTTTATTTTTTTCCGTTTTGTCACTTCAGAGCGTATTTTGAGCACTTTAGTCAAAGTAAATCGACTTCTTTTATTAATTGAAAGTTGTTTAGCATGTCAAAATCTACTTGAATATTAATTTTCACGAAGGTACAGTTAATACTTGATGAGTTATTCACGATTTTCACAATGGTACTCATTTACGAATTTTATTTTTTTCCGTTTTGTCACTTCAGAGCGTATTTTGAGCACTTTAGTCAAAGTAAATCGACTTCTTTTATTAATTGAAAGTTGTTTAGCATGTCAAAATCTACTTGGATATTAATTTTTACGAAGGTACAGTTAATACTTGATGAGTTATTCACGATTTTCACAACGGTACTCATTTACGAATTTTATTTTTTTCCGTTTTGTCACTTCAGAGCGTATTTTGAGCACTTTAGTCAAAGTAAATCGACTTCTTTTATTAATTGAAAGTTGTTTAGCATGTCAAAATCTACTTGGATATTAATTTTTACGAGGGTACAGTTAATACTTGATGAGTTATTCACGATTTTCACAACAGTACTCATTTACGAATTTTATTTTTTTCCGTTTTGTCACTTCAGAGCGTATTTTGAGCACTTTAGTCAAAGTAAATCGACTTCTTTTATTAATTGAAAGTTGTTTAGCATGTCAAAATCTACTTGGATATTAATTTTTACGAAGGTACAGTTAATACTTGATGAGTTATTCACAATTTTCACAACAGTACTCATTTACGAATTTTATTTTTTCCATTTTGTTACTTCAGAGCGTATTTTAAGCACTTAAGCCAAAGTAAATCGACTTCTTTTATTAATTAAAAATTGTTCAGCAGCTTAGAATCTACTTGAATATTTATTTTAATGAAGGCACAGTTAATATTTGTGGAGTTATTAATTTTTTATAATTGTGCGTATTGCATTAAATTACAAGTAAATTTATATTCTTAATGTATTTTGTTTAAAATTTAATTATTTAAGATTAGTTTTTTATTTAATATTGCTTAATAAAATATTTTTTAAATTTTAATTCAATATTACAATATAATTTTTTATAAAAATATATATTTTATAATGTATATACAATTTTTTTGTATAGTGAAAAAACTGAAAAACACTAGTCGAAATAAGGCAAATCGGAAATAAGGCAAATCGTCCTTATTTCGGCTAAATTTCGGCTAATAATTGACGATCATCTGTATATCAGGTGACATTCGGCATAGCCGATTTCCAATTTCACTAGTCGAAAAAGGCCGGCCTATATTCAATTAAAAATTCGACCATGATCTACGATTAGACATTGGTCGAATAGTCTAATTAAACGTCACGCGTTATGCATATCAAAGTTTAAAAAAGGATCTTTTTTAAACTTTTCCCTTTCATCCCTTCCTTTCACTTCACTTCGTCCCTACTTTCCCCTGTCCTTTCGTCCTTCCCCTCCCTTCTCCTATTGTCCTTTCCTTTCCCTTTCGTCCTTTCATTGCTTCCCCTTTCGCTCTCCCCCTTTTCTCACACCTTTCTTTCGCCTCTTTTTCTTGGAAGTAATGTAAGTTTCATTTCGAAACTTACATATTTTTTTTTAAAATTTTTTTTTTTTTTAATTTAAGAAACGAATTTCTTTTCATTGTTTTTTTTTGTAGGACGCATAAGAGGACGCCGGCTTTAACACGAAACCGGACTTTAAGGTAAAAAATGGGGAAAGGGGGAAGGGGAAGGGGATTTAGAACCAAGATTCTTAAGAATCTTGGTTTTTATTTTTTTTAATATTTTGGAACGGTTACTAACCGTTCCTTTCTTTTTTATAGGTTTCGGGCGGGCTTCCTAGTTCCGAAGAATGGAAAAGAACCAAGATTCGTAAGTAAACGAATCTTGGTTTAATTTTTTTTGTTTTTTTTTGTAATATTAACGAACGGTTACTAATAACCATTTTTTTCTTTTTTTAGGTTCGGGTGGGTTTCCGATCTTTGGAAAAAGTGAAACCAAGATTCGTAAGTAAGTACGAATCTTGGTTTATTTTTTATTTTTATTTTTTATTATTTTGGAACGGGTACTAACCGTTCCTTTCTTTTATTTTATAGGTTCGGGTGGGCTTCCAAGTTCTGGAGAACGGAAAAAGATCAAGATTCGTAGGTATATACGAATCTTGGTTAAATTTTTTTTATTAATATTAATGAACAGTTACTAATAACCGTTCTTTTCTTTTTTTTATAGGTTTGGGTGGATTTCTGACGAATGGATGAATCAAAACCAAGATTCGTAAGTACGAATCATGGTTTATTTTATTATTATTATTTTATTATAATTTTGAATTAGCAATATTTATTTGTAATTTAGATAGATGCTAATAATAATAATATAATTATAAAGTTTTTAAGCATTTAATTAATAAATACATTTAATAAATTTGATAATAAAAATTGAAATAAATTCAGAAAAAAATAGTCCGATTTTTGTCCGATTTAAGTTCTGAAGTACATCTGATTGACTGTCCGAATTTAGTATGATTTAGTTCTGATTTATGTCCGATTTAAGTTCTGAAGTACATCTGATTGGCAGTCAATCGGATAACAATCGGAATATATTTTTTTTGTAAAAATCGGACATATTTCAGCCGTAATTCGACCTAAAATAGGATATCCGATTTTTAGCCGATTTGCCTTATTTCGACTAGTGAAATGTGGTTAAGAATTGGTAATACGGCTGTAAAAAGTCACAAATCTGACAAATATAGCTAAAATCAGCCAATTTTTATTTATTTGACGTGTGATAGAGTAAGTTTTTCTACACTTTAAAGCATCAAACAATACTAGTATCTGCTAATATGTACTACCCAAAAACTCACTGATGTAAAATCACAATTATTAAAAAATTCACAAGAATTTTTGTTAATACTGTTTAATTTTTAAGTTCAAAGTCCGATTGATAATACTAAATTCAAAACTCAATTATAAATCATTTTTATAAATTATAATTTAAAAATTAAGCAGTATTAAGG